AGGATGAGAAGTGGGTCAGCTGTTTCTTAGGAAGCTGCATGATAAGAGCACGGGACCACGTGCGTCCGAAGGCCTGGGTTCAAGTCCCTGCTGTGACTCTGAGTTCTGCCTCCCATTCCCTCTCCGGGCCTCAGTTTCTCCATCCATAAATCTGAGTAGGTTGGGGGAGGAAGGCCCCTTCCAGCTTGAGCTCCACTAGGATGATTGTCTGAATCCATGTTGATTCAGCGTTGCCATGGAGAAAAATGATGACGTCAGGGTTGGGGGGGGCACTCTTCATCTTAAAGGGCCGGCTGAAGGACCGAGCAGGTGGTGGGGTCCGTGACCAGTGGGAGGAGAGCGTCCACACCAGCAGAGGGCAGCCAAGCGAGTCCCCAGCGTCCCAGCGTCAGGGCAGGAAAGGGCCTCAGACAGCAGCAAGCCCAGACTCCTCTCCTTTTACGGAAAGGGAAACTGAGGCCCAAGCTCCGACAGGGAACAAATAAAAGAGCTGTGGTTTGGAGTCCGGTCCTCTGACCCTGAATCTGGCTTCTTAGGACACCCCTGGCCCCTGCTGTGGCCTGAACCCCGGAGCTTAACTGTCTTAGCAAGACTTTGCCGGGCTTTGGTGTCTTGGCCAGAGCGGATGTCCAGCAACATCCTCGACCTCTTTTGCTCCCCAGCCAAGGTCGCCGTGCAACCCAGGGCAAGACAGGCCCTTTCTCTGGGCCTGAGTGCATTCCCTCTTCCCTGAGGTCCCTGACATCCTGTGCTACTCTGTGTGGGGACGCAGGCTGGACCAGTGGAGCAGCCCGCTATTCAGAGAGCCCTGAATGCCAGGCAGGGAGCCGTCCATCCGTGAGCCGGGGGGGTGGGGAGTAGAAGAGAAAGGAACCTGTGCGAGCTGAACCTTTCTGAGCCTTGGTTTCCCCATCTGTGAAGTCAAGGAGTTGGCCTGGAAGGCCTCCTTCGCCTCTCGATCTGGGTCCTTGGGGATGCGGACGGTTAAGTGTGGTCACCGTAGCAGGGAGGGTGGGAGAGGACAGAGATGAGTGCCAGTCAGGAGGGGAAGATCGGCCTGGTGACATCTTGACATTGGGAACAAATGAAATGACCATGAGGATTTGAGCCCAAAAACGCGGGCGATGGCCACCTTGAGGGACCAGCTGGGGGCAGTTGAGTCAGGGCCTGACGTTGGGGAGGCGGGGATCGCTCTGCCTTCTCCATCCCTACGCAGAACGGAGAAGAGGGCTGAACACAAAGGCCAAAGACCTGAGTGCAAGAGGTGACAAACTTGACCTCACTGGGCCTCAGTTTTCCCAGCTATAAAATAGGAAGAATTTTTATGGAGAGAGCATTCTATTTAGAGTCAGGAAGGCTTGGGTTCAAATCCCACCTCAGACTCCTACAAGCTGTGTGATTCTTAGCGAATCCACTCAACTTTCTGGGTCTCTGATTCTCTGTGAAATGGGAATGATCAGTAGAGCAGTGCGTATTTATGAAGCACCTACTATGTGCACCAATGCGTTAAATTCCCTCTCCTCCTGGTGCTGGCCTGGCTTGGGGATGGCCCTCATTTCCCGTTACGGCACCCTTCTCACTTTGGGGCAGCGGGAGGGCCCCAGCTTTGACAGGAGGGAAGCCTGGCGGCGCTTGCTAAAATGGATAATGGGAGGGTCTGAGTTCATATTCTGCCTTTGACACTAATGACCTTGAGTAAATCTCTTCCTCTTCTGAGCCTCTGTCTTCTCATCTGTAAAATGAGGACCTGGTGGTCTGCGGGGCCATGACCTCCTCTGACTCCAAATCTCTTATCTAAGACCCTGGGGCCTGCTTTGTGTATACTCAGCACTTAGCACAGTACCTGACGCACAGTAGGCGCTTACTAATGCTTACTGACGACTTGACTAGAGGGATCTGTGTCACCAGAGCCTTGGGCCTTCATAGTGGCCAGGACATTCTGGTCCAGCTGCTTTAACATTTAGAAAGCGCCTACTATGTGTCAGGTGCTGGAGATGCAGAGACGGGCCAGTGGTTCCTGTCCTCCAGGAGCTCACATTCTCCTTGGGGGAGACAGCCTGTGGGCATCGGAATGAAAGTCCCAGCTCTCCCTCTTAGGATGTGTGTGGCCTGGGGCAATCCCTTTCTGGGCCTCAGTTTCCCCAGGTGTACTAGGAGGGGGTTGAATGAGATCCCCTCTGAGGTCCCCTCTGGCTCTAAAAGTGGGACTGCATGCTAGGATGACATAAGGGGCAGCTAGGGGGCGCCATAGTGCCTAGTGCCCTGGGCCTGATGTCAGGAAGACTCATCTTCCTGAGTTCAAATCTGACCTCAGACATTTAGTAGCTGTGTGACCCTGGGCGAGTCACTTCACTCTGCCTGCCTCAGTTTCCTCATCTGTAAAATGAGCCAGAGAAGGAAATGGCGAACCATTCCGGTATCTTTGCCAAGAAAACCCCAAATGGGGTCACGGAGAGTTGGACACAACTGACAGGCAGTGTAATGTGATTACTCGGAGTAATGATAATAATTGTAACCATTGTAATATCAGTCAGTCAGTCAATCGACAAACACTGGCCCTTTGATCCACCCTGAAGGCCCCCTGTCCTTCCAGTTCAGGCCTGGGTCTTTGTCGACGTCCACTCCATCCCATGCTAACGCGGAGTGGCTTCTTCCACGGCCCTGCCCCTCACCTAGGAGGAGAGGGCAGAGCACTGGGGGCAGGAGGGCGGGGCCCGCTCGTCCCTCTGCCCCCGTCTCTGCCCCCTCCATCGCACCTTACCTAGCAGGCGTCTTGTGGGGACATCTGTGTCTCTGGATCTGCAGGTCCAGTTCCTGGGTGGTGAGCAGCATGGGGGCCGGGAGGGGGGCTGCAGCCCTGGGAAGGTTGTCACCCCTGCTCCCCTCACCCTCCCGAAGGCAAGGGGGGCAGCCGGGGGTGGTCCCGGCCTCAGCGGAGAGGCGAGTTCCCAGCAGGGGGCCACAGCCCCTGCCCCAGTGTTCCGCCCTGGCCAGGCCTGAGGAGATTGGAGAACCAGATGGGCCTGCTCCTCCCCCAGCTCTGGGAAACTCACCCCAGCGGTCACCGCCCCCTCCCCAGGAATGCTCCGAGGAGGGGAACAGAGCACAAAGTGCTGGCCTGACCGGGAGTGGAGCAAAGCTGGGAGGAAGCGGAGGGAGGGGAACAGGGAGGGAGTGTCGGATCTGATAGCCAAAGGGAAGGGCCGTGGGCCGGGAGCCCGGACCCCTGGGTCCCAACCCCAGCCCTGTGTCTCTGCCAGGTCCCCTCCCAGGGGAGGCAGCGGGTAGGGGACAGCAGGGAACGTGCTGGGCTGAACCCTGGGTTCAGCGTTCAGACCTTCTTGCTGTCTGGGTGCCCTGAGCCCCTGTGGGCCTCAGTTTCCCCATCTGTAAAATGAGATGACCTGAGGTCCCTCCCAGATTTGTCCACAATCCTGCGGTCTCCTCGGACCCTTCCAGAGCTGAGCCCTTTGTCTGGTACGATGGAAAGACTAGTAGATCTGACATCTGAAGACACCTGGGTTCAGATCCTCTCTGACAGCTACTACCAGGGTGACTTTTGACAAGTCACTTCCCTTCCTGGGTCTCAGTTTCCTCATCTGTGAGAGTTTGGACTGAATGCTCCGCAGTCTCTTCTGGCCCTCACTCTAGAGTCCTGGTGCCAGCTGGGCCTGTTTCCTAACTTGCAGAGGGAGCAGTAACCCTTGCCCAGCCCCCCTCGGAAAGACGTAACGAGATCATGGACGTGAAAATGCTTTGAAAGTGTTGGCATTCAATGCTTAGGAAGAGGGAGGATGCAGATGGCCCAGTCTAGACGGACACTGGACCAGAGTGAGTTTATTTTTCACTTAATCCTGAGCCATAGCTCAAAATCTAGAGTGAGGAGGAGCCTCAGGGGGGTTCCAGTTCACCCCTCCCCCCTCATTTTGCAGAGGAGGTGAAGTGACTTACTGGTCCAAGGTCACAAAGGTGGGAAAGCAGGGGCAGGATTTGAACTCAGGTCCTCTGACTTTGAAGCCAGTGTCATCTCCATGCTTGACAATGATACGAGAGAGGAAGGAGAGTGTGCAGTGGAAAGAAAGCTGGGTTAGGGCTTCGGAGACTGACCTTCGAATGTTGCCTTGTGCTGGGCCACGCTGAAAGCTGCCTGAAGTCTTGGGCACAGAGGATGCCGGAGGTGTGGTACTACCGTGGTGTTGCAAGGACGGCATTCTTGATAGCACCTTTTAAGGACTGCCCAGCCCCTTTAGGCCACTCTGGGTCAGAGAGCAGAAGACTCTGTCACTAGGCCTGAGGAATAAAGACAATGTCTTCACCATTGAGATGAAGAGACAAGCCCTGCTCCCCAGGGCCCTGGAGACACTGGCCGTGGCCTTCCCAGGAGGAAAAAAAAGCATTGCCTAATCCTCGAGTCACTTGGGTCCTTGGAGTAGACGTAGTCAGACACCTGCAAAGAGGACACGGGACCCATACCCTTCTCTGGGACAACCTCTAGCCTCCCCTTTCTCCATGTCTGACCAGTGGCCTGAATTTAATCAAGGCTCAGGTTCTGAGAATTGCTGAGGGGATTCTGGAGGGGACAGATGGAAACTGAGGCCAGAGGAGTAGTCCGGTGAATGTTCCCCAGAGCTGAGACTCAGGCTCGAGCTTGCTGGCTCTCGCTCCTGTGCTCTCTCCACCTTGCCCTGCCCCTTCCCCAAGGTCGACCAGCTCGTTCCTAAGGCCCAAGTTGACCAAGGGACCTCAGAGTCCGTGGGAGCCAATCCCCTCATTTTATGGCTAAGCTGAGGCCCAGAGAGGTGAATTGATTTGCCCAAGGTTGCACAGGGAGTGAGTGTCAGATCTTGGACTGGAGTCCCGGCCCTCTGACCCCAGAACCAGGGGTCTTACCACTGGCCCACCCTGCCTCATTCCCTAATCGGAGCCAGCTCTCCTGACTCCCAGGCCTCTGAGCTTCCCAGAGGCCCAATGGGCTAACCAGATTCCCTTGCACTCCCCAGGAACGTGAGCTCAGATGGAGCAGAAGCGCGCCGGCGGCTTCGGGAATGTGACGGGCTGGTGGACGCCCTCCTTCACGCTCTGCAGTCGGCCATCGGCAAGAAAGACACGGACAACAAGGTAACGATTCCACACAGCTTGGGGTGCTTGGGGTGGGGCCTGGGATGGCTGCCCTCCCTCAGGGGCTCTCAGGACACAGGGCACCCTCCTCCTTTGGGACAGGGGCCTCTGCAGGGAAGAGGAGCCCAGGCAGTATAATGGAGACCAGTCAGTCAGTCAACCAGCATTTACTGAGCACCTACTATGTGCTGGTTCTGGGGAAACCAAGAAAGGCAAAGTCATGGTCCCTGGCCCCCAGGAGCTCCCAGTCTAATGGGAGAGGTGACATATAAAAACTAGAGAGATAGAGTTATAAAGAGATGGATGAGATGTAGTGTAAATGGATGGTAACTTCTGGAAGCAAGATGGAAACAAGCATTTATGCTCATGGCCATGGATACCTACTGTGTGCCAGCACTGGGGAAACCAAGAAAGGCGAAGTCCAGGAACCCCTAGTGTAATGGGGGAGGTGACCTATAAGTCACTAGGCCTGTATAAGGGATTCAGTGTGACTGGATGGTGACCTCATAGGACAGGGCCTGGGTTTGAATCCCAGCTTCACTCATTATTGAGGGGGTGGCCTTGGACAGGTCATTTCCTATCACTGGGTCTCAGTTTCCTCATCTGTAGTGAGGTGTTTGGACCCAATGGCCTTGGAGGTCTCTTCATTCCTGACCAAGTTAGGGGCAGGGTGTTCTATTCCTTTGGTCCTCACAGGTCCCCTGTGAAAGCAGGGTTCTCATGTCCATGTATGAAATATTGAATCGAGTAGAACCAAGAACCGAGGGGGAAAGTTCAGAGGTCAGTTTAGGCTCAATGTCAAAAAAAACCTTCCTAATACTGAACACCATCCCACGGGGCCTGGGCAGCCTCAGCAGGTAGTGAGTTCCCCGTTGCTGGAGCAGTGGGTGGCTGGCCATTTGTCAGGGGTGTTGGAGAGTGGCTTCTCAGGCAGGTCCAGGCTGGAGTGGCAGCTTCCAAGCTCTCTTCCAGTTCTAACATTCTGGGATTCTGGTGGGGTTTTACTTTTAATCTGGTCAGGCTGCAGAGTGGGGGGTGAAGGAGGGGAGGAGGCTTTCTTCAGCAGTAGTGAGAGAACTCAGTGGGAGATTCAAACAGGATGGAACCTGGGCTCAGGGAGGTAAAAGAGGCTGGGAACTGAGGGTGGATTAGAGGACTTTCCATCTTGGATGTTCTATCTAGAATCATTGAATTGGAAGGGGGACAGGACTTAGAACAGGGGATGGCAGAGCTGGGAGGGGCCTGAGAACAGGGGATGGCAGGGCTGGGAGGGACCTGAGAACAGGGGATGGCAGGGCTGGAAGGGGCCTGAGAACAGGGGATGGTAGAGCTGGGAGGGGCCTGAGAACAGGGGATGGCAGGGCTGGGAGGGGCCTGAGAACAGGGGATGGCAGAGCTGGGAGGGGGCCTTAGAACAGGGGATGTCAGCGCTGGGAGGGGCCTTAGAACAGGGGATGGCAGAGCTGGGAAGGGCCTGAGAACAGGGGATGGTGGGGCTGGACAATGTCTTTGAGACTCTGATTTTCCTTTCTTTTCACACCCCTTCCCTGTCTCTCTCCCCAGTCGGTGGAAAACTGCGTGTGCATCATGCGTAACCTGTCCTACCACGTGCACAAGGAGGTCCCAGGTGCTGACAAGTACCAGGAGCCCGAGGCCAGCCAGGCGGCCAGCACGGGGGCCCTGCCCCGGAGGAAGAAAGATGATGCTAGCTGTTTTGGGAGCAAGAAAGCCAAAGGTGTGCGCCGAGGCGGGGCCTGGAGCCCTGGGGGCCCCACAGGGCAGGGGCGGGAGCCTTGGTGGCCTGCTGGGCCCCGGGGAGGGCTGGGGACTGGGAGGGCTCACCCAGCTCCTCCCAGAGTCTCAGGATCAGGCCCAGGGGCCCCCTTGCTCTCCTTGCTGCCCTGACCGTCCCTGGCCCAGAGCTTTCAGAATGGTGGAACAAAGCCTGACTTCTGGGCCCAGAGTTAACACTGTCCTCCTCAGCCCTGGCAAGGTTCTATCTGACCACAGCCATTCCTTATTCCTGTTTGACAGATGAGGAAACTGAGGCCCAGTTTGGACCCAGGATGGTCCCTGTGCTTCCCATTCTCGACTCCGCCCCCTTCCTCACCTTCCCCAGCCCTCTGCAGATAGAGGGTAGCATCTCCCTGTTAGCACTGCTCCACATCAGCCCAGAAATGAGCTCAAGCATGCTCTGACATTGGCCCCCCATGGGGTGCTTTGCTTCTGCCAGAGAGAAATGCCTGGGATTTGAGGTTCAGAAGGCCAGTCTCCCTCCTGAGATTCAGGCAGGGGATTGTTGGGTCAGAGGGTGGGGGTATGCCTCCTCCAAGGTCCCCTAGGCCTTGAGGCACCCTCCCATGGGCCCAGAGTCTGTTTCCCACTTGGCCAGATTTCTTTCTCTGCATCATGAGTTGGAGGGTGACGTGAGGATATCCCAACTGGCCTGGCCCTGCCCTCAGGTGGGAGAGAGCGTGGCCTCTGACAGGGTGAACCTGAGGGGGGCCTGGCTTGACCTCCTCATATAAGGGTGATGGGCCTACATGCTGGGAGGAGGCGCTTTGGGGGGCAGCCATTTCAGCCAAGCTTCTCCATCTCACATCTTAGATGTCCAGCCCCAGAGCCCACACTGGGCCAAGCAGGGAGGGTGGTGGGCTCCTTCCAGGGGGGTTAGCATTCCCCCTTCCTTGGCAGGGGATAGAGCATGTCCTTTGTGCTCTGGGGAGCATGGCAGGAGCTGCTGAGGCCTGACCACTCCTCCCCTCCAGCGAGGGCCTTCCCCCCACAGTCCCCCTGAGGGGCTCACACTGTTCACTCTTTCTGTCCAGAGGGCACAGCCCTAGTCCCCAGGCCTCACCAGGCAGCTGCATCCCCAGGGCTTTCCCCAGGCCTCACATCATGCCAGTCACTGGGGTTGAGGCCCCAGTGCATCCTGGATCTCCTAGGTCCCGAGGTGTTGCTCGGTTGTCTGGCCTGCCGAGATCTGCTGCCTGCCTGCCTCCCCCTCCCCCTTTCATCACTCCCTGCCCCCCTTCAGTGGACGCTGCCATTTGTACGCGGCTCTTTGAACTGACTCCTCTCCTCTCCTCTTCTGCCCATTTCATCATACCTCACGTCCGAAGGGTGCATTTTCCAGAGTTAATTCTCAGGGAACAGCAAAAAACTAATAGTAACCTTTACATAGTGCTCACTTAATGTGCCAGGCACTGTCCTCAGTACTTTACAAATATCGCATTTGCTCCTCGCAACAACCTAGGGAGGTTGGTGCTATTATGATCCCCATTTACAGTTGAGGAAACTGAGGCAGACAGATTAAAGTGACTTGCCCAGAGTCCCACAGCCAGGAAGTGTCTGAGGCTGGGATTTCAACTCCTGATTCCAGGTCTGGTGCTCTAACCACTGCACCACCTAGCTGCCACATGGAAAAAGAGAGTTCTAGGGGTGAGACTTTTGAAAAGGACACAGTAGGTGATCTGTCCGTGAGTTCCCTTCCAGCTTTGACTCCAATGTCCCAATCAGTGCACAGACAAGCAATTTCCCCCCTTCTCTTGGACTTGGGTCCTCAGGCCTTGCCAGCCATCCTCACTCCCTTGAGCTGGGCTGGAGGGAGGTATTGGTCCCCTCTCCTCCCGTGGTCCCAAAGGAGAAATCTGCTGCTGGTTCACACCCAAAACAAATTAGGATTTGTCCACCTGGGCCTTCCAAGATGTCTTCATTCGTCCATCTTCTAAACCTCTGCTCACTCATGGCCAGTTTCCTTGCTGGTGGCTAATTGTCCTATGGGAACTCTTAGCAAACTGGAAAGAAGTCTTGGTATCAGGAAAAACTTCCAAACAGCTAGAGTTGTCCCAAAGTGGAATGAGCTGCCAAGGGCAGTAATGAGCTCCCTGTCGCTGGCGGTATCCAGGAGCAGATAATTGTTGAGGATGGTGGTAGAGAGGATCCTCAGCGAGTGAACTGGACTTGAGGCCTTCTGCTTTCCCCCACTTAACTCCTAAATTTCCTCTTAACTCCTAAAGGGACAGCCAAGAAATTCCAGATGGGTAAATAGGCCAGGCTTTCTTCCCATTGCTTGAGAAACTCAGAGGAACCGAGCCCAGACTAGTGGAGAGAGAGAGGTGGTCTTAGCATCAGGAAGCCTCCTGCCTCTGATCTCTGAGGGCTGCATGACCCTGGACAAGTCACTGAAATGGTCAGCACCCCCATCCATCTCTAAAAGAAGACTTTTGTGTCCAGGACCCCTTTGACAGCCAGTCTGGTGAAGCCCATGGAGCCCTTCTCAGGGCTCATGTTTCAAATGAGTAAAATAAAATCCACAGGACTCCAGAGGGAACTATAGTGTTAAATATAGTAAAATACAGTCATAAAAAGATAGAAAAGACAAATTGCCAGCTTTCTCCGACTGTCAGCGGCACAGCAGGTGGCAGACTGTATTGGTGGAGGGAGTTCCTCTCCTGGGAGTTCTGTACCCTGATGAAGTCACAGGTGAAGACCCAGGATTTAGCCCAGCCCCCAGGGCAGTAAGACCGCCAGCATCTCAGAACCCACCTAGCCAGCGGCACCCTGCCCTGCCTCCATGCGCCTTCCATTGGGGCTCCACAGGAGCTCATGGCTGAGGGCAGAATTCTCAGCGGCATCTGGTGTGGCCAGAGCAGTTCTTCCACCTGAGGCCGGCAGAGAGAAAGCCAGGAGTCGGGTGCTGGGGGAGGGCATCTGTGGGGCCCTGTGGGAGAGCCGGCTGGGCCCTAGGTAACCTGGAGGTGGGGGCGGGGAAGCCAGGCCCTTGGACTACGCCTCTCATCATCGCTCTGTATTTCTCCTTTCTGCGACTCTTGTTTCCTTCTCTGCTGCTTTTCTGGTCCTAAGAGGATTGGTTCAGTCAAGGTGAGTTCTTGTGTCCTTTTCTCTCTGTTCTTTTTCCTTCCTTTGCTCTCCTGGGGCCCCTGGCGGTAGAGAGGGTCAGGCTGGAGCTGAGCTCTGGCCCACATCTATCCAGCTCCCAATCACCAGGTGCAGCCCTGCTCTGACGTAGAATTACAGTGGTTAAAAAAAAGTCAAGGTTTGTGGTGATGGGCCTCTCTGTGCTAAGTTTGTCTTTCCTCAGATGAACAGTCCATCAACAGCCACACTCAGGGCATTTCTAGTTTAGTAGGACCTGCCCCAGATTGCACAGAATAGCTGAGAAGCCAGAGTAATCTCCATGTCATGATGAGGCACTAGAGGAAGCCATTAGTGGAAGAAGATGAAGTTCAGTAGTGATAAATGTAAAGTTCTGAATTGGGTTCAAAAAGTCAATCACACCAGTATGGCACTGGGGAGAGATGACTCGATAAACTAATTCATTGGGAAAGGATCTGGTGGTCTTAGTCAACTATAAGCTCAATGTGAGTCAGCAAGAAAAGATAGAAGGCAAAAAAAAAAATCAATCTTAGGCCTCACTATTAGAAGCAGAGGGTCACAATGGGGCCCTTTGACTGAATCCGGACTTCACAGAACAAAGTGTGGATTCTGTCGAAGGGCCGCACTTGAGGACCTAGAGGGCCACATGTGGCCTCGAGACTGCAGGTTCCCCACCCTGGCTAGAACGAGGGAAATAATCAGCTGGTTGCTGCCCCCTGCCTGAATCAAGCCCCACATGGAGAATCATGCTGTGTTCTGGCTGCTACGTTTTAGAAGAGACTTTGACAAACTGGAGCATGAGTAGGTTGGGGAAGAGACAGGAGAAAAGAACTGAATATTTAGGTTGGAGAAGATAGGGTTTATGTCTTTAAGGGTCTGAAGGCCCGTTATGTGGCAGAGGGCTTAGCCTGCTTCAGCTTGGCCCTGGAGGGACGAACCAGGGGCAATTGGTGGGGGTGGTGGAGAAGTAGATATCAGCTTGATTGGTGGAAAAACATCTAAATTCAGCTCATCTTATGACAGCTGCTATAGTGTCCAGAGTGTAGTGGGCTGCCTCCCCATCCCCAGAGGTCTCTGAGCAGAGGATGGGAGTGTTACTGAGAGAATCTTGTTCCACTGTGGGTTGTCCATGGAGGCCCCTTCCAGCCTTCTCATTCTGTGGCTCTAAGGAGTCCTGCCACGGGAAGCCTGATGCCACCTGGGTCACCACAGAGATGTTGGCGCTCAGGCTGTGGCCCCAGCAGCTCTGTCTGCCTCTCATTTGAACTCTCCTTGGCTTGATCCCTGCTGGAAATCAGGGGTGAATAGTAGGGAAGGTACTAAGGCCAGAGCAGAGCAAGGAGCCCCCATCTCCCATAGGGTGCCCAGCCAGCCCTCCCCCCTTCTGAGGGGAAGATGTCAGTGGTTTGAGCCCCAAGCCCATTCTCTGTGGGGCATCCCCTTAATGCCACCTGGTTGTGGTGCCAAAGACCCAGGGTGCTGTTTCTCTGGCAGGCTGTTCATTAGCCTCCCTACTGATCTTCTGTTGTAGACCTGAACTTTCCCCTGTGTAACTCCAAGTCAGAGGTTCCCTCGAATTCTCCCCCAGGCCCTGGTGGCCTGTGTCCCTAGGTCCCTTTGAATTGGCGAGACTGAGAGGGCAGACTCCCCCGGGCCTGCTTCTGTCTTCAGTCTACTAAAGCTTTCCAGTTCATCATTCTCGTGTGACTTATGCCACCTATGCACCTTGGTGGGTTCAGGCCACCCTGACCCAGGTGCACCAGAAAGAGGGTGGGCCTTACAGGGAGCAGATCTGGAGGCATTTATCTGCTGTTTAATTGCAAGCAAGTTGCTGAA